TCCAGTGGAGACATAATTACTGATTATAATGACTTATACTGTCTTTTTACACGCGGCATTGCATCGCGCCGCGTATACATAAAACTCTGTCTGCATTTGTGATCAGAGAAATGACAAACAACAAGTGCTACTCTACTGCCCAAAACTCACGTTTGCATCATCAGTGGCAAATCATTTAAATGAAAACGTACTTACGTGAGTCAGAACTGCCGGCATTTTAGTCTAACGTTACTCTCCCAGGATCAGTAAACAGTCCTCCATAAAATGTGCTGCACACATCTGGATATTTGAGTTAAACTGTTCTGGAACAGTGTTGTAAATACAACTGATTTGTAGTCGTGTCCTCTTTTGGAAGACCAAACAAAGTAGTTTTGCTTTCACAATGAAAAACACAGTGGCCTAGCGTGAGGGGAAGCCCCGGCTTAGCGTGTGCTGAGGTCGGGATAGAGTGAGCTGAGGCCAGGCTAGAGTGAGCTGAGGTGGCGGGGTCGAGAACGGCGCGGATCCGACGAATTAGCGGCAACCACATGTGACGACCCCGGGCTGGACTCCGCTTTGTCCACGGGGAAAGTTGATGTATTCCCTCAGTGACCAGCACGGATCAACTCTAGGCATGACGAAGCGGATATCGTCCTCTTTTGGAAGACCAAACAAAGTAGTTTCGCTTTCACAATGAAGCACACAGCGTCTTCACGACATGGCTGCAGCGTCAACAATACTACAGCGAGAATAAAAGTTACGCCTTTTTTCTTTGCATGAACATTTGGGCGGCGTTATGCAAATCTTCCCACATTGTGAGGTAGATATGTGGGGGCGTGTTAGAACGAGCCGTTTTAGGTAGGCGTGGCTGACTCTGAACTTTTATAAAGAATATCTCTTTGGATTTGAGACTTTAGTCTTTTCAACTTTACAGATTTTCTTTATGCACCAAGAACTTGTAACACTCCAAAGAGAAAGGAAAAATTTAAATCGCATCATATGACCCCTTTAAAATATTGCTTTGTGGTATTCATTGTTTTAAAGAAGATTTTGTGATCGTTGTCAGTTACTGCACATATAAAACTAACATGTTCATGAATTAATTGCTTTAATGCACTAAATGTAATCATTAGAAAGGTAAACTATATTAAGTTATTATGTGCTCTAGTCTAGTTATTTACCTGTAGTTGTTAATGGAGATGGGTGTCATCAAATGTCTGTGTTTGTGGTTTATTTTTTCATTCTTACTGTTATATTTGGAAGAATTTACATTACACTATTTTCTAGATTTCTAGATAGATGTCTTCTGGAATGTTAATAGAGGGGACAGAATGCAAAAAATATGGATAGATGTAAATAGAAAGACAGACAAAACAAATTTATAGAACATGTGAATTAGCACATACTGTTACGGAGCTGACAAGACGTGAGACGTGCGGATCCATTCGCAAAGCTTTATTGTGGAGAAGACAGAGACGTGGTCATAAAGCAGGCAGGGTCAAACAGAGGCAGACAGGTATATGGCGGGCAAGACACAAGAATAGTCCTAGGGCTAGCGTGGGTCGACGATTGGCAGACAGAGTCACAGGGACAAGGCTAAAGGGAGAAATCCAGGAAAACAGGTGAAGATCAAAACCGGAGAAAACGGCTAAGGCTAAGGCTAAGGCAGGGAAACAAATGAGGGCTCTGTAGTGTAGCTATCTGAGATAAGCGCTAAACAATACTCGGCAGAGGGAAGGGATCAGAGTGAGTGTTAAATAGTGAGGGAGTGATATGAAACAGGAAGTTTCAGTTACTTTAGAAACTTTAAACTTAAGCACTTTGCTTCAGTTACTTTAGAAACAACGACTCCAATACAGCTCTGCCACCACACTACGTCGGGTTAATTCAGTTCCGTTAGAATTTTAAACAGAATTGTACCGAATAGGCTTAATAACTCCTCCTGCTAATACTGAATAAACTTATCTTCTATCCTTACAATTTCTTTTCTAGATTTTTTTAAACGAAGGGGTTTCCCTGACCAATCCAGCAAAAATAAGAATAAACCGCTTTTCTTACCTTTTTGTCCTGCTTTTTGGAAACTCCTGCGCTGGGTGGCTTGCCAATGTAAGAAAAAGTGAAGACGTCGAAGATCTTGATGAAGAATAACTTTTATTACAGAATAGTAGTGACAAAGTACATGTAGCACCTTGGGTTCAACGGAGTCAGACTGAACCCCGAGCCTCCTATGCTCAAACATTTTATACTCTATTACGTTCATCTTTCTGCAAGACATGTAAATGATGTTTCCTCTTAAATGTAAATTGCGGATAACAATGAAAGTGATAGCCTTCCGTTCCCACATCTTTGGAAGTCTTTCAGGTGGAAACAACCAAATGTTAAGGTGATTGGATTATCTAGAATCCCTAGCAATTATATTAAAATACCCTTTTGGTCAGCAGATGGTTCTTGATGGCCTAATGCCGCTCCCACGCTATAGGTAACGAAGTAACATTCAAGAGATACTATTTACATAAAGAATTATCTCTATGATAATTAAGCTGTTTGTAGAGAAAGGAGAATAGTTTAATTGTAGTGGAGTTTGGTCGAGGCAGACTATAATTTCTTACATGGTGGAGCAGGACCTGCAAGGAAAGGTGACGGCGGCATTTGTGAAAAAAGGGAAAACCTAAAACAAAAATATAAAGTAAGATCATTCTGTTTTTTTCTAATACAGAAATCAAATGACATTGTGCTGTTAAAATGACTGCTTTTGTGTTGTGTTTGTGCATTTTTGTATGATCTGAATGTATGCAGACTGGTGTGAGCAGTGAGGATGGAGAAGTCCACAGCAGCATCCTGGAAATGGTCCAGTGCCACGGATGAGACGCTCCATCACTCCACCTCTTACTGCCTCATCTGGACCAGATGTTGCTGTGGTCTCTTCATCCTCAGTGACCCCAGAGCCAGCGAGAGCATCTAGAGAAAGACCAAAAGACACTGAGGATGTGAGTTTGGTCAAGTTTGTCCTGCTGGTTTCTGTTCATACAACATCAGTCAATGGAGCCCGAGTTTCAGAAGCTTCAAAAGCATCATCAAATAATGTCATAAAGCTTCTGAAAGTCAGGCTCCATCGACTGATATTGTATGAACAGAAACCAGCAGGACAAACTTGACCAAAATCACCTTTTGTGTTCAGAAAAAGAAAAAAAATACCCCAAGGATTGAACAGTGTGGAGGCAAGTAAATAATGACTGAATTTATATGTTTGGATGAACTAACCCTTTAAACCCCCCCAAAAAGAAAAGGTAGTACCTTGAAGAAATAAACTTTAAGAAATAAGCAGCTTTATTGACCGTTTGTACCGAAGACACAAAAAAGGATTTACAAAAATCACATTTACTATCAATTTATTCGTTTGTCAGGCACTTTTATCCGAAGTGACTTACAGTGGTCTTATTACAGGGACCCCAATCCCCCAGCAGCCACCTGGAGTAAAGAGCCTTGCTGAAGGACACAGCGGTGGTGACGACTGCAGAGATCGAACCAGTAACCTTCTGCTGACCAGTGCAGTGTTTTAGCCCACTACACCACAAAAGTAATGACGCTATGACAAAAATAAATAAATAAATGTAGTCGTGCTCATGGAGAGCAGGCACATGAATGTTTGGAGCAGACACAGCAGCAGCCAGATTGTCCCGCATGTGTTCACCTGCTCTTGCTTCAAGATTGTGTGGTACAGGGGGCCTCATCCTCTCTGTGCACTCAGGCAATGATAGCCTCGATGTCCCTTTCTCTTCCATGATCAGATTCAGTCTGACTGCAGCAGTGAGGGTCGTGATGGAGGGCAGAGACAGGTGAAGGTGGACACAGTGGTAAGCTGCTTCATCAGAATAAAGCTGCAGAACTGTCTCAGCTGTGTTAAGATGCAGTAGATGTGGGTTCACCGTCTGTAAAAACATGATTGTTAGAACAATATGTTTGAATAAAGCTTTGTTTCATGTGTCGATGATATTTATTTATTGTCATGGTTACCTTTATTTATTTTTACTCATTTATTCATGCTTCCTGTTTTCAGTAAATAAAATATAATTGTTTCATTAACTTGTGCATTCATTACTTG